GGATGGTGGCAGCGGGAACCCCAGGCTAGCGGGTGTGCTCCGGGGAAGGGGTCGGCCGGACGGGAGGCACCCCAGGGAGGCACTCGGAGCCTGGAAGGTGGTCGGGAGCAGGGAGGTGGGCGGCTCAACGCAGGAGCGCCCCCTACTGGCCCGCCACACAGGGCAGCCAACGTCCTGCTGCTGCAAAGGGGGTTAATATATGCTCCAAGGCTGTGCCCCCGCTACAGAAAAAGGCAACCCCCTCTTCCCTCCACCACCCAGTCCATACCAATATGACCAAAGGAGGGAAAAATCCTTCCTGATCCCAAATGCAACATCAGTCTGACCCTCAGCGGAGGGGCAAGATCCTCCAGCCAGGACCCTCCAGGGTTGAGTCCCATGAGGAGCATTGGCACAGCCCCGTCCCCATCCCCAACCCAATGCTCCTGAGGAAGGCTTTAAAAAACCCTCACACATGTCAGGGTCCTGCACGCCTATCCCACCCTGAGGCCAGGCATCTCTGTGTGGGACTGGGCATGCTGCATTATCTGGAGGTAAAACACACATGTTCATCCAGCTGTGTGTGACAGCCGCGCCGCGCCGCGCCACGCCAAGCCTCGGCAGAGAGCCCCGACACGATCCTACAGCAAAGTCATGTCCGCTGCTCCCGAAATTTCAGCGCATTTCCTTTTGCTGCACATTAGGCTGCCCAGTTGCACTGAGTTACTAGCGAAGCACGGTCACTCCTTAAACACCTCGCCGCTCGCAGCCCGGCACAAAGCATGTGCTGGGACTGTCTGCTTCCTTGCAGCTGTCCTTGACGGGCAGTTTTCATAAGAGCCCCCCACGACCCCGAGCTACGGATAACCCTGACGATATCAGGATGGCACGGCAGAAATAATTCTGCAGCTCTCAGCTAGCTGGGGCCAGGGATGACCGATTAAATCCTGTTCCTTGGGGCGCTGGGCACTGCTGGGTGGGGATCTATCACACCAGTGTTTCAAAGAGGAACGATAGCCACTTTTTGTCTGCAAGCAGCCCTGCACATTCAATCCGAGGGACTTTCCTAGACTCTATTGCTATCACAGAAGAGCCCCTGACAATCTTACAATACCTCCAGGGGCTACAGCAGCGCTATTGACCCCATTGCACTGATGGGAAACTGAGGCACATCGTTCACCCCAGGTGTTGGAGGCAGAGCGGGCAGTGGAAAGCAGACCGGCTTGGCCACCTGTCCTCCTGGTTACACACCCAGCCCTGCCCTGCAAAGGGATGCTGGTTTTGCAACAACTCAGCTCACCCATCTCTTGCTTCTCTGTGGCATCGCAGCCAGGCATGTGGGTCCTTCTGCTAGTGAATAGTGACACCCCCCTGAATCTCCAGAAGGGTGGCACATGGGGGACAGGTGATAATCCCTCTGAAGCCATGGCTGGGATGATGTAGGTGGGGCTGGTCCTGCTTGGAGCAGGGGTTGGACTAGACGTGACCTCCTGAGCTCCCTTCCCACCTGAATTTTCACCCGTCAGCTATGTTCACCCCCTTCTCTCATAGGCCTTGCACCATATGAACACGGAGCCCAGTGTCCAGCTGGCTTGTCTCCGTCTAGGATGCCATGTCACCCATGCAATATGAATGCTCCCCTTTGTCCAGCTCATTTTGCTGCATTCATGATGAATAATGCAGCACCAATGACGATGGAGACGGGGATCATCTTTCCAGCAGGCTGTTTATCCTGGAAAAGATGCTGCTCCAGCCTACACCATGCTGGCGGGCAAGATACTTTGCATCACTGTAATAGGGGCTACAGGCTGGAGGAGGTTTTGTCCATATAATGCTTTTTTTAAGGAATTGTTAAATCCTGTCTTGAAGTCAGGGATCCCTGGGGTTTTTAATTATTCCCTGCACAGGGCAGGGTTTTTAATTATTCCCAAAGCAAAGAGAGGGCCACTCTTAATGCTCAGCATGTTATTGCAGGCTGGCTTCCTGGCCACGCTTTGTTTTGTAGGCTGGACAGACTTGGTTATGGGAGGCTGTTCCAGATCGGCGTTGCCATCATAGTCCTAGAATATTGCATATTATGCGTATTATGTTGCATATGATGCCATTATAGTCTAAGCACAAAACCCAGAGACATTTGCCCCAGAAAATAGCAAAGGTTCATGGAGACTCCAGTAGGTCTGATTTGATCTATAAAGCAACCTCCCTCCCGCCCCATCTTGCACTTGCACGTGTCTCCTTTAAACCCTTTTCTGATCAAACCCCTTTAAAATTAGTGTTCTGGGAATGTCCTGATCTCCCCTCCTTTAATAGCAGGGTCCTGGAAATGTTCAGCAGCTTGAGACCATGCTTTCTATTGATGCTTTCTTAGCAAGAGATGCCCAAAGAGACCTCCACTACAGGAGCTTTGGGTGACCTTGGAGAGAGGCGTTGCTTCTATGTTTTTGCTGGTGCAAACAAGGCAGCACTTGGCTTAGGTGTTTGACAGCAGCCACACGAGCAGTGCACCTGAAACCCATTACCATAAGTGTTAAGAGTGGAAACCTAAATGATAACCTCTGAGGCCATCCTAATTAAACTACTCTTAAGTCTTTGTCATAAATTCATCTGGGGAAAAAAAGTTTTCACAATCCACCCCTTTCATTAGCATCGATCCAATCAGGTTGTGGACAGATGCATGTCATTAATGACTGCATATCTATGATTGCAAACCTGGGGAAGTGGGGGATTGTGGACCTGAGCTGTTGGAAGCACCGAACAAGGGTCTGGCCTACACCCATCCTCCTGCACATGAGTATGTCTTTGCATTTCCATTGCCTGGTCCGAATGCTAGTCACATCACGTTTACCTTTCCAATGAAGTGATGCTCTTAAGAGACGTGCTCTCTTTATCCAGGGCC